CATTTTAGCAGTGGCAATGCCCAGATAAGTGTTTTAGATAAGTCACTGAGGTTGCTAAGTTCACATATCGTATATTTATTGAGGGCCAGCTATGTGCCAGGACTTAACTCAGCAATTAAAAAAAAGTAAACCTTTGTTTCCTTGAAGTGTGGTGAGTAAATCTCACTTGCTCAATAAATAAGATTTTAAAATATTAGCAAAGAAAAGGGCAAACAGTGATAGAACTTTATCATTAATATTAACTACCAAAATGTCTCTGCCATCTTTATAAGCACAATAACGCATTAGGTAAAAATCAAATCTTTCTCAACATAATCAGTCATTAAAGAAATGCAAATCAAAACCACAACGAAATGCTACTTCACGACCACTAGGATGACCATAATCAAAAAGGTAGATAATAACAACCTAGATAATAACTAAGATGTGGAAAAATTGGAACTCTTAAACATTGCTGGTAGGAATGTAAAATAGTACAGCCACTTTGGAAACAGTCTGGCATGTCATCAAAAGCTAAATACAGTTACTATACAACCCAGCAATTGCACTCCTATGTATATACCCAAGAGAAGTGAAAACACGTCCATCCTAAAACTTATACATAAATGTTCATGGCAGCATTATTCATGACAACCAAAAAGTGGAAACACAAATGTCCATCAACTGATGAACAGACAAATAAAATGTGGTATATCCACATTATTATTTTCTGATAAAAAGAAATGAAGTACTGACATGTGCTACAACACAGATGAATCCTGAAAAACCAGTCATGAAGGACTACATATTGATATATGAAATATCCAGAATAGGCAAATCTACAGAGACAAAATGTAGATTAATAGTTGCCTAGATCTGGGAGGGGCTGGGAGGTTAGAGGGTGACAGTACAGGAATACAAAGTTTCTTTCTGGGGTGATAAAACTGTTTTAAATTTGATTATGGTGATGGTTACACAGCTGTACATATGCACTAAACAGCATTTAACTGTACACTTTAAATCGGTGAATTGAATTGTATGTGAATTATATCGCAATAAAGTTGTTGGTTTTTTTTTTTTAAATCATATCCTTGGGCCGGCCCGATGGCGCACTGCTACAGTGCGCCACTTGGGAGCGCAGCAGCGCTCCCGCCGAGGGTTCGGATCCCACATACAGACCGGCGGCTCACTGGCTGAGCGAGGTGCGGGCGCAACACCGAGGGTTGCGATCCCGTTGCCGGTCCCGGTCCAGTACGGGCGCGACACTGAGGGTTGCGATCCGTTGCCGGTCACGAAAAAAGACAAAAAGGAAAAAAAAAAATCATATCCTTAATGGTATTTGCAAAATCCTATTTCCCCTTTCCTCATGAAGCCAGATGACACCTTCCCCAGTACAGAATGTATTATGACAATGGAGTACCAGAAAAATACCAATGTTCAGTCTTCTACTGGCAATTCTTTGGAAAAACTAATCTTCTAGTTATTCAGCAGAAAATAATTTGTTTCGATGACATCCAAATAAAAGAACAGATATTTTCACCCAACTGGCACAAAAGGTGAGAGTCTTTAACAATCTCAAATTCTAAGAAGTTTTTTTGTCAGTCAATTTCATCTTCCATATCTCTTAATCCTATCACTACTGCAAAAATTATCAACAACTATGGCTTTCAGATTATAAACTCTTGAAGACAGAACCATGAGGAAAAACATAGTTAGATTTTGAGCAAGACTTGGCTCTAATCTCTGCCAAGTAATAGCTACATGGTCTCAGGCAAATATTTCACTTCTCTGAGCACAGGGTTTTTTTAATTTGCAAAATGGGAACAATACCAATTCTGCCAACCTCTTAAGGTTTTGTTTAGGATCAAATGATATTTGCTGACAGACTCTGAAATGGTTCATCACTATGATGTGAGCTAGTAAATCTAGGACACTGGGTATATAGAACAAAATCAAATGTTAATATCGTGAAGTAGAGTTTCAGAAGCAATAAAAGTCAAAAAAGAAAATAAAAAGACACAATGGTTAAAATATTCAAACTCTTAGAAGGTAGGGGACACATCTTACTTTAGAGATGCAAAAAAACATGAGTATGAGAAAGAAGTTCACATGAAATATTTAGACCCACATTTTTCTTAGGATTTTTGAAACACAATGCCACAGAAGTGATGAATTATCTATTGTTATAAATAAGTTATAATTGCTGACAATTCCAGAGTCTAACGTTAATGCTAAGGTAGCACTTCAATCTTCATTTGCATATAACCACACTCCTATTAGCCCAGGGGTCAGATGAGGTAAACATACAGTCACGGATGCTGAATAATGGAAGATAATAACATAAGGAAAATTCACCTTTTAAAAAAAAGTAAACACGTTTGCATGTATACATAATTAAATGTGTATTCACGTAAACAGTAAATTGGGTTTAAAGTAATCTGGTTGTTAATGCCTTGATCTGAATACCAGCCCAAGTTAGTTTTCCCATCCTCTTATTTTACTTTTTCACCCTGGGCTATCCAATATTGCAGGAAAAAAATATATACAAGCTTGTTACTATCGATTGAACTGTGTCCCCCAAAGTCCATGTATTAGAAACTTAAGCCCCACTGTGACTGTATGAAGAGGGTAGAAGATCATATTATGGTAATTGAAAGGTGGGGCCTTGGAGAGGTGATTAGATTGTGAGGGCCATGCCCAAGGAGATGGATTAATCCATTGATGGTTTAATGGTGGTCATGGGTGTGGTTCTGAGGGCTTTTAAAGAAGGAGGAGTTTGGTTCTCTCTGCTTCTGCCAATCTCCATGAGACACCCTGCTTTGCTGTGAAGAGTCACAACTCACCAATGAAGCTCTCACCAGATGTACTCACTGGACTCTGCACTTCTCAGCCTCCAACACCATAAGCAATAAATATTGTTTCTTTATAAATTACCCAGTTTCAGGTATTTCTGTTATAAGCAACAGAGATGGACACATGCTAATTGGCTTTACTGCAAATGCATGCCTCAAACTTCAGCTGGAATCCCATGGTTACTAGGAGAGTCTTTTGTTGTCTCTAGTCATTTCCTTCTTGTACTTCCCACAGCAGCAGTATGCATTTAAATTTGTTTTCTCTATGACTCTTCTCTACCACCTCAAAGCCCTATCATTGCCAATAAAGAAAACGGAGGCCATGGAATGTTGATTTTCCTTCAACCTTCCTTAAAACTTACCTATAGCAGCACCCATCCTTTATTCATTCATAAGAATAGAAAAAAATAACACGATTCATTATTTATTAAGTACTTGTCATAGGCCAAGCACTGGGCTAAATACATATAATAATTATTTTGGATTCCACAGTAATCTTACAAGACAAGTATTTTTGGTCCTATTTTTTAGAAAAGTAAAGTTCACAGGAGCTAAATGACTTGTCTGAGGTTTGCAGATAATGGGTGTAGAAAACAGATTTTAATCCATGTCTATGATTATGTCACTCTACCTCTGAATAGGGGTCTAAGGCCTGTACCAACACCTCTATTTCTATAGGTACACCACATTCATAAATGTATTTTCACTACTGTATTTATTATCTTTCTTTTCTAACCAGTACTGAGAAAAGATATTTGAATTGCTATACTAAAATGAAAAATGTGGCCTATGCACTCTACATTATGTATTTAAATATATACCTACGTTAGCTACAGAAATGACATTTGTTAACAAAATGTAAATGGATTTAGATCTTCTTAAAGACATGTAGGTTGAAAGATTAACTGACTTTCACTGAGTTTCCAAGAAAAATTCAAAATACCAGGTTATGCTGATAAAGGTTACCATCTTTCTCTTTTTGTTCATCTACTGAACAGGAAAAAAAAGATAAAATTTTCTGCTTCTTCAATTTCCTAATAATTTCTTACTTTGGCAGAATTGATTACTTTAAAAAGGTAGAAAATGGCTTAGCAACATCTGCAGACAGAGCTACTGCTTTTAACAACTGCGTCCTCTTTTTAATAGTCCTGACATATGCAGGTCTCACTGGCTTCAGAGTTTTCTCACGTGACTTTTATTAAAACTTCAGTTTAAGTGGTCAGTGGCTTGTCCTAAGCCATGTGTTTTATCGTGCTGCTTACACAGAAGTTTAATTCCCTGCACCCACATCACATGGAACCCTTTTTCTTTAGCTGTTAAGGATTAACTTCAGCAATATAAGCACATGAGAGCAAGAGCTTGAGTCCAGTACAATATTCTGTTCCCTGTACCTGTACGGAAGTAGATACTGAACAAACACTTGCTGTAATAAACTGGTGGCAAGAAAACTAGTTAGATAATACTGTGTAATCCACTGTGCCTTTTCATAAAATACCCTTGAAATAGTTAGATGAATCTGTTGTTTTGAAATAACATAAAGTAAGATATCAAAATCTAGAGCCCATAACAATAATACAGCTTTAACACAGGATTAGGTTGTTTTTATGACATTCAGCTTGAATTTATTTCAAAGCAGATTAAACCATTTTTCTCATTTCTTCTCATTCAAAATAAGCCAATAATGATCAAGGAATAATTTGTACATTTTAAATTTACATGTATCTTTTTATATTGCTAAATCTTTATCTATGAAGACTGTTTCTTTCAGATCAGAATGTTGCTTCCTAAGTCCAAAGAGGATGCTAGTTATATCTGCAGTTCATAAACAGTTTGTCAATCACTAATATCATTCAAGGGCTCCATACATATTTATTACCGCATTCATTTTTAAACAAATATAGCAAAAGATTACACACAGCGTGAGAAATGTCACCTAAATGCTAAAAAACCCTGTAAATATCAATTCTTAATGGTAGGTTCCTTGTCTATCATTAAAATAAATATCAGTGTCTTGTCCACTTTCAATCTTGCTGAATGCCACCCACTTATAAATTAGATACCATGATTCAAAATATCCAGTTATATTTTACCTATGATTTCTCAATTTTTCTCCCATTCCCCCAAATCATGATTTATTTGAAAAATTAAATGTAAGAACTATTTACAAACCTCCATCCATCCTTTTGGAGATAACTGAAGGCTCCGTCAACAACACTTGCAAAGAACTGCCCTCCCGTGATGAAGAGGGTATTGATAGTGACTAACCGGCCTCTTAAATTGGGTGGTGAGACCTCAGCGATATACACTGGCACCGTCATAGAAGCAATGCCTATAAAGAAAAAAACAAAAAGTAAACATGAGACATTTACTCAGGATTGCCATTGTTGTAATAAATATTAATACTATGTTAAGAAATACACATACATATGTAGGCTTGGTTTTCTACTTTAAACAAAGGTTTACGACATATTTAAAGATTTTGTTTATAACTAATTTGGGACTACTGCAAATAAGTAAAGAAGTGTGTGAGATACCAATCCCTAAGTATCATTTTTCATATTATCACTTAAAAGCCTCCAAATAAAAGTACCACTAAAGACCTAAGATAACTTTAGAAGGCATATAAGTATGCATTATAATTTTCTGAGGGCTAAAAATATAAAAAATTTCTCTAGATAGAATGTGATTACTGAATTATTTTTAGTCTAAATGGAGATGTAATCAGACACAATGGTGAGAATAAAAAATTATCCCAGAATACATATTAACTATACAAAGTAATCATTTCCAGTAGATACACCAAGACCTTTAACTAGTTCACTAATAAGAAAATCCATATATTAAGTCACCTTATTCAATTGGGTAGGTGTACATTTCAGAAATAGCACACACCGAATAGTACTTTGGTAATTTACAGTCTTCAAAAATAGATCTTAGCCATAAAATGGACAGGTTTATGGCTAGGGTATATTTGGTTATATCAGCTTTAAATTTTTTTTCTATCAAATGCAAAATAATCTATGGCAGTAGTTTTGACTTCACTAATCACCAGATTCACTTATGTGACTTTTTTTTTAAAATAAAGATAATCTCACCTCACCCACCCCAATCTACCAAATAAAAAACTACAGATGGATTCTCCAGAGGTAATCTTAAGGCTCGCTGTATATTTAAAAAACTAAAATTCTATGGTACAGAACTTTGAGCCCATCTACAATGATCTCTTAAAATCTCACTCCCCTATGGCACTTCTAAATTCCAGATATGTTTGATTATTTAGCCTAAAACTAATACATAGTCAATATCACCAAAACCTCAGTGAAAAAATAATAAGCAGGATTACCTAAGAAAATTTAATATTTTTATACCTGTAGATACTATAAATCAATTTCTAGATTAAGCCAGAACATCAATAAGTTGCATAATAGACCCATGTAGAACTGCTTTTAACAAACTGATCTTTATGATGGCAAAAAAATCGTATTGAAAGACTCAGCACTGAGAACCCTGTTGCTGTGTTTTCTGTACAAGGGCTGTAGGAGGTGCTATTTATCACATTCCATGCAACAGGAGACATTTCTCTACAGTCTCAGTAACTGCAACAGTTGTGCTTCTCAACTAATCTTTGTTGATAGGCAATATAAATCATACAGCTGTCTTCATTTTCCTCTTTATGCAGACAGTCGGAGAGACCCACAGTGTTTTGGAGTTCATAGTATTTATTTTGTTAACTAAACTCCCTCCTAGTGCTATAAGTCTGCAAGTTCATCTAGTATATTTTTGCTCTATTTTTGTTTTGTTCCATTTTTTAACAAGGCAAATAAATAAATGAACAGACAGACAAGATTTATTTAAGTGATACATATATACTTCTGGAAAATTCACTATATTATGGCATAACTACTGGTTAAGTCATTGTTAAATTTGCACACAAGTCAGATCATTAAATCTCAGAATTGCACACTGTAATTTCCACCAATGTTATGTGCTACTGTACCTTTTGTTAACATTTGGAGATGGCGAAAATAATCTTATGATATTACGAGTTTCATAGAATAAATAATAAGCATGTCTTAGTAGACACAGAATGAATAGTCTTTCCAGTTAAATAATCACCTAAGCAGCTGTAAGTCTCTATTTGACTTCCAATCAATTTAATAGCACAGACCACTCTAAAAGACCTTTCATCTAACTTGGAAAGAGAAAACATTTGCTGCAAATATTTACAAGTTAATTGCATCTTCTTTTTAGTTCTTTTACTATTAGAACACCTCAGTAAACTTTCAAAAATCAAACAGTAATTTATTGTTTGGATTTCTTTTTCTGCTTTGGTCTGGCTGAAACAGGAATTCAGTTCTCTTCAGTCAGAGAACTTTACTCAGCCACCTAGCCCAGGGAATGGAGCGTGGAAAATCAGGACTGTGGTTTTAGGCAACACATGCTTGTTACAAAACCCACAGATTTTACATGATAGGAAATACAGAGATGTCCTCGGGCCCTTACAAAGCTTGATTATTTAATAATCACCAGAGCATTGAAAAGTAATAGGTGATGGCAAAGGGAAAAGACTGAAAAACTGTAAAAAGACAGAATCATTGGGTTTAGAGTTGAAATGAATCCCAAAAGAACTTCTGTCCAATGAGATGATGATCAGCTCAGCGGAGACAAAGGCTTCAGGCAGGAAGAAATGCATCCTGCTGAGGAAGGGGGACTCTTTTTAGAGAGATGGGCAGGGACCAACCAGAATATATAGGATCTTAGAGGCCAAATTAAGAGTTTAGTACTCAGAAGCCTTAATAGTGTAAAAGAGGAAAAGGCATGATCAGATTCCCATTTTTAAAAGATCATTCTGGTTGGAGAATAGAAAACTGATTGCAGCGGAGCAACAAGTACAGTGGCAACAGTAAAGATGGAATGAAATGGAGAGATTAGAGAATTATGTATTTAGTATCCATGTTAAAGAGAATTTGGATGGGAAGTGAGGGATGAGGAGAAAAGGAAGTCGAAGATGATGTTCAGGTGTCTGGATTAAACGACTAGGAGCATGACTGGTACTTTGTATGAAGATAAGAAATACTGGAGGAAAAGCAGCTTTGGGTGGAAGATAGTAAGGTCAAGTTATAGACAGATTGAGTCAGTAGTGCTTTGTAGATAGCAAGTAGATAGCAAATAGCTGCTTCAAAAGTGTGCTGGGAAATATAGATGATTTACATGTGAGTGTTCCCAGCCTCCCTCTTTCCCCACTCCCTATTTTTGACCCTATTACTTCAGCTAGCTAAATTTCTAGAGACAGAAGAGTCTTCTCTGTTTGTAATTTATGTGCTATGTGACTTACTGCCATCAGGTGTCACATTAAAGAGCTTAGACCAATTAGTAAGAAAAATGAGAACTGAATATTATTAGTTATGTAATTTTGGGCTAGACAAGTTTAAACCGATAAAACTGCTTTATGAAACTGGAGAAGTAGTTGGCTCCATGTTCATTCTACTTACATCTGTCCAATATGCATATGTTAAGCACGGACCCGGTTAACCTACCTTGCTATTAATGAAAACAACACATGCAAACTACCATTTATGGATTTCTAAACATGAAGCCCACCTTTTGAAAAACCTTATACATTAAAGATATGTCACCCCAAAATCTCCTTTCCACTTTGGGGAAACAAATGGAATTCTATCCCTAGACAAAGCTCACTTATTCTAATGAAGGATGGTTATGTAAAACTGTTTAACTTTAGGATCTGATGTAAATCACTATTATGTATGAGGGTACTTCAAAAAGTTCATGGAAAGATTCATATTACCTTTCAATTCTATTTTTCCATGAACTTTTTGAAGTACCCTCATATTGATATAACTCAACCCTAGACTTGCATAAACCATAGGAATATTCAAATAAATGAGCAAGAACAGCCCTTGCTATTCACTTAAAATTTGTTGTAAAGACAGAAAATGTATCAAGGCTCACATTTTTGCTCTGGTATTATAACTCAAGGATGATGGTATGAGATCTCCAAAACTAAGAGTTAATTCTGGGCTGAACCCGTGGCTCACTCGGGAGAGTGCAGCACTGGGAGCGCAGCGGCGCTGGGAGCGCCGAGGCCGCAGGTTCAGATCCTACATAGGGTTGGCCGGTGTGCTCAATGGCTGAGCGCGGTGGGGCGACACCAAGCCAAGGATTATGATCCCCTTACCGGTCACACACACACACAAAAAGTTAATTCTATGCTTCACAATGTAACTAATGAATGATGTATAAGTTTAGGAAGTTCTATGAAGAGCTTTTGATTTCTTCCCTATTCTAATCACTAGCCAAATAAAATAATTGTCTGATAAAGAAAAACAAATTCTTAACAGTCCATACTAAACTAATGACATAACATGACATGACATAACATAACATAACATAACATAACATAACATAACAACATAACATAACATAACATAAGGAATAAAGTGGGAAAAGTTCCTGTCAACAGCTTATTAGAGTAAACATAAACTACAAAAATCCATGTTGGTATTGTTTGCTAATATTACTGAAAAGTTTAATTTCTTATAAAATTATAAGGTCTACATCAATGAAAACTCATTATCATGCTTGGCTTGAAGAACTTCACCAAAAAAACTGCTCCTCAGACATGCAGTGAAGTGGATTCACACACCATCATGCTGCCAAGCTGATTCACCACCCCAATAGCACAAAATGCTCTTGAGTGCAGAAGCTGGCTTTCTAAAACTGCTGGAAGCCCTTCTAAAGGCCTGAGTCAGAAGTATAAATAATTTCATAACCAAATAGCATTAGAAAATCCTGTTGTGATGGGTAAATACCCATGAATCACAACAGTCTCTCAGCATGATAAGCCAGGCAGCAACTAATTAGCTTCTCAGAAGCACATGAAGCTATCTTTTAATAATAATGCTTCTTGAACAAGGATTATGATGTCCTAATTTCATTTTGGAAATTACTGTTCTATCATCTCTAAAGAAAGAATTTTTTAATAAAAATAAATAGAATCTCTCAAAGGAAACGGTACCCTCACTGTAACTGTTTTGGTTTGGCTGTCTTGCTCAGGGCTGATATGTCTGCATTCTTCCAAAGAGTTAAATATCCACAGTCACCAGGTTATTAACAACTTAGAATTCAGTTTTTACTTTTTTCTCATAGGGCTTAAGACACTCACAAAAGAAGCTGAGCAATTACAAGGCCCCAAATACAATGCAAAATGTCTGTAACAGAATAGTCAGGGTATAAGAAAGATTCTACCGATGGGGATAATTAGCAAAGTTAATGGGTTACAGTCTTAAAGAGCTATTAACAAAGTATTAC